TTTTTATAAAGCACAAAATAAAAATTATTGTGGAAAATGCATAATTTGTTCTTAAAAACTTGCTGTATTTTTGGACACTGTAGCTCAACAGCAGCGTTTCCTGTCGGAACTTTTTTTGGAATCGCTGCAACACAAACCACTGCAGAGGACCGCTCCTGCACACAACCATCACCATTTCTATTTCAACTCAAAATTACTTTATTGATCCAAATAAATGAAATGTTGTCGTAACTCGTATCATCCAAATATGTTCAGAGTTGTTTTGGGTGGTGAAGCTGTAGCAGTCGGTGTTGCAGCAAGTCTTAGGATGCCTCTGACTGAAGGCAGTTGCAATGCGATGGTCTCGTGACCTTCTAGTGGATCAATATCTGAGCAAAAGAGCTGATATTCCACAGAATCATGTCCTGATTGACGCCATCAGTTGGCAGACACTGCTAATCCTCCTCCTTTGCTGCTGCTACTTTTAAAATCTCTGGCTGTAAAGTTAGAGATGCTTTTATTTTGGAATGATTCTTACTTGCTATGATCCATAAAGGACGATGGTTTAACATCCTGCTTCTATTTGGGGTTGTAGTTCAGGTATTTGAGTTTTTTAGATGCTAATCATCTGCTCCCAGTTGTAAAAACAATACATTGTTGCCACAGTTGCATGTCACAACAATTACATTTTGAAAATATGAAGAGCAAAACTCCCTCCAGCTGCACAGCGTCCAAATCCAGATGGAATAAATGTCCGAACACTCAACACCTCAACACCAACAAATATAAACAAAGTCACTAAAAAGAAAAGGGCTAACGTAACGGAGCTGCTCTGACATCAGCGGCACAGTTCTGCAACAATGACTCATTGGAGAAACTTGGGTAGTTTAAGTACAATATTTACTTAGATTTTGGAATTAATAGTGTTTTTGAATAGAACTACAATTGGGTTAAGTTCTTTTTAGATTTAACCTTATTGACGTGATGGAGTGGCCCAGTCAAAGTCCAGACCTAAATTCGGTTGAATCTCAACTGATTTGAAAATTGTTTCATTTTGACCTCCATTTTCAGTCACCAGTGAAATGAAAAACAAAAAGAGAAGCTAACAGTTGATGAATGCTTGGGGGGGGGGGGGGGGGTTTTTTTTCACTAATTACAACCCAACCGAACTTAAAATGGCCTTATGGTTTT